CTAGATCTCCACAAGTTGCAAGGCGCTACAACCGTCAAATGTAGAAGCCTCAATGGTGGTCATTGCATTTGGCATCCTGATAAGTCCCAGGACGAAGCAGGATCGAAATGCTCCGGTCCCGATTCTGGTCACAGACTCCAAAATCTCGACATGTTTTAAAGCGTTACAGTTGTCAAAAGTATCAGCCTCAATGGTGGTCACTGAGTTAGGAACCTTGATAGTCTTCAAGGCGCTGCAGGCACGGAATGCTCCCTGCCCGATTCTGGTCACGGACTCCGACAGCTCGACCAATCTCAAGGCACTACAACAGTCAAATGTATGAGCCTCGATGGTGGTCACAAAGCTTGGAATCTTGATACGTTCCAGGCTCATACAGGCTCGGAATGCTCCTGGCCCGATTCTGGTCACGGACTCCGAGATCTCAACATGTTTCAAAGCGCTGCAGCCATTGAAGGCCTCACGATCAATCATGGTCTCTGAGCCGTTCACAGATTCTGGAATCTCGACATATTCCAGCGCGGTGCAGCCGTCAAAGGCTCCAATCTCAATGCTTATCACCGAGTTGGGCAGGCTGATCCTCCTCAGGGCAGTGCAGGCGCTGAAGGCAAAGGACTTGATGTTAGCCACTGACCCAAGGAACTCCACTTCCTGTAGCGCGTAGCAGTCTGCGAAAGCGTCGTCACGAACTTCTGCTGTGCTTTCGGGGATTTCGACGAACACGACGTGCTCAACTGGGCCCGGTGGCTTCGCTGCGGCTTGCACGATATGCTTAAAGCGGACCACCGTGAACGCCTCAGGGCAGAGATGAGTTCATCTACTATACAAGGGACACCCTGCCATCGACCGCTAGCTAAAATCCCTTCAGTAGACTCGTTACCAACTTCCAAAGAGGATAGCTTTGGTGAAACCTCTGCCTGAGACTCCCAAATCTGCGTGTCGGGCGACACTGCTTCAGCACTCTCAGTCACCAAGCGCGCACGGAAACCTGCTGGCAACTTGCGAGCCTCACGATCCAAAATGCTTTCCACTGTTGTGCCGGGCTCCACCTGGATGTTTGTTACCGATCCGTCGACACATTGAATGCTCACCTCGATCTTGCTTGTCATGGCTCCCTTAAGTAGGTCAGACGATACTGGCTCCGACTACTCCAAGCAGGGGAGCTTCTGATGAGCAGCGACGAGGTGTTTGAAACAACTTATTGGACGTGTCATGACAGATTTCCTGGCACGTTCTTGCATTTAACTTACATCAGGGTTGTGCTTGGCCTGGCATTTTGACTTCAAGACTCAGCCTGGACTATACGGGGCCAGGCTTGCTTCGAACCACAGCTGGCTGCCAGGGTTCATTCAACGCTCTGGTGGGAAAGAGGGGGTGAAGAAATGGGCTGCAGGGAGTACAATACAGGATTTTTTAGGGACCACTCTGGGGATCCATTCCGCCAACCCGCTACAAAACACCACGAAGACAGTCCACCCAAAATCCAAAATGTGTTCGTTTCATTCACATGGGTGGTTGTCAGAAATATGGCCCCTTTTTGGATCCCTATCATAATACGGCACCTAATATTTAGGGTACCCAAAAGGGACTAATAGGGTATATACATATATATATAACCTCCAATACAGTAGTTTCCATTTTCTTTTCCATTATCCACATAAAAAAAAACCCAATATAGTCCCTATAATCCCTGTATTTAGGGTACCCAAAAAGGTACCTTAATTTTGACAACCACCCGCATCTTCTCTTGGTCTTCTAGCCTCATACCTGGCCCTGGGCTTTCTCACGGCTGTGAAACCCTGCGAAGCGTGCGAAGTGAGCCCAACAACCCTCTCCTAAGGAAAGGTCCCGGAGTATGCTCATAGAATTCGAGGAAACCTTCTTGGTGCAACTTGAGAAGTACCTTGTTCTGCGCTTTCTAGAATGGAGTCCTGGCACGGGCACTCTTGACGGAACACCCTGTGCGTTGTACCCAGGGGTCTATGGATGTTTGGAAAATATCTTGAAAGTGCCACCGCACCCAGATATGCACCTCAAACATCCTCAAACAGTCTGCCACTCATGGGACTTACGCGAGCTCGCACAAAAGTCTCCAGCCAAGCAGACAAGATCCAAGTGTCTACAAAGTTAACTTCATGTGGGCTATAGTCTACACTCCTAGTATCCCCATTAATAACCCCTATAAGGCTCCCCTATATAGTCCCATACCTTACTAACCCCTAATTGTGTTACTCCCTTGTATGATCCCCTGTGTAACCCCCTTAAAGGAGGTTAGACTATAGCTCATGTGAAATTCAGAGTCCAGCTGCCACAGGCCCCATCTCCCTCCGAGCATTGCTTCTGCGATGCACCAACATGGCCTCAAAAATACTTGGTGATTAATGTAAACCCTTGATAAACAAACCCACTCCTTTTAAGGGCCTTAAGATTCGGATCCTTATTACAATCCCTATTGAGGGAAGGAGGGTTCTTGATGTTGGGTCTACCCTACCCAAACGAGTAGCGTTTTTTGGTGGTTAAACCTAGTAAGATTATAGTCCTTATATAAACTACTATACCCCAAAAAGAGGATATAATCTTACTCTATATTGGGTACCATAGTATCCCGAAATAGAATACTACCCAAATCAACTCAGGGCTAAGACAAGCCCTCAGGTGCCTCGATGAAGCGTACGTAGTTCAGGAGCCCTGCTGACAGTAGCACATGCCAGGGATTCTGGGCCTCGGCGTAGGCTTTAAGGGGTCTACCGTTTGTATATAGTCCCCCTTAAGTAGATAGAATGTGAGGACATGGGGAGAGAAGCCATATTCTATCTACTTAAGGGGGACTATAGGGTGTAACAGGTCTGTCTTCTACAGAGCTAAACCCTATACTAGTTTCCATGTTATTTTCCATTATCCCAATATAACCCTAATATATACGCTAGAATCCCTATATAGCCCCTATATAATCCCCATAACCCCATACCCTAAACCTGGGCCTCTTGGCCGTTTCAAGCTCATCCGATTTGCTTTCTCGGACTTTGGCGAGCTCAGGGATTAGGGTCCAGGGTTCCGTGTCAAGGAGAGTATCAGATGCGTAAGACACTGCAAACCGCGATGTACAGCCTCGTGCCGAACCAAACTCTGAAACCGATCCGCCAACCTTCACAGCAGCCCAACCCTCAACGTTAAACCACGGATAGGCACATCTTCGCTGGCATCGGCCGGGGCATCATCTGCTTGCATCCCGCTTTGTTGCGGCATCCGCCATTTGATCAGCGGTTGAGCGAACTCCTTTAGTTGCTAAACTTGGTAAGGTCACCTCCCTCTTCAAATACATGAGTTCCCGAACAAAACAGAAATTCTCGCTCTGCCTTAGGGGTCCCATTATCCGAATCCTAGCTAGCACTCACATGGGGCTTGGCCGATTGCCAGACATCTTCGACTAGATGTTGGAGAGCGTAAGGCTTCAGGGGCTGTTGGTGGGCTTCGCGACTTCCAAGTTAGCGCCTACAACTTCTGCTGCAAAGCATAAAACCAGGCTTGGACGTGCGGTACTGTTGTATCCTCAGATCCATTCCGCGCTTGGAGCCAAAACGCTTCTACAGAAGATCTTGAAGCCTTGCGCACAGGTTCGGGATGGATCTTGTCATCCTCCTCTGCGCATGCACTTTTTTCTCCCCTACTACAGCGATGGACTTGTTGCCCTCGCCTGCCATGGAAACCATTAACAGCTGTCAGAAATGTCAACCCAGCTCGCTGCCTTAGCAGCAGAAGACTCTGAAGGAAGTGAGCAGTGTCCCTTGCTACCGTTACCACGCAGAAACCGTCCAACCTTCTACTAGGATTGACCGTTGCTGCTACTGGCGTAGTTCTAAATGAAGCTTGTGAAGGTCCCCTCAATCAAGAACTATGAAAATGCTTTTGTGAGAAACTCCCACTTCTTCTTGCAGTCGAAGGTCCAAAACACCTTGAAGGGGTTAAGCGCCATGAGGCTTCGTGTAGGGTCCTGAATACGTCTTAGATAGGGTTTTTGAAGCACACCATGCTAGAACTGACCTAAGGTCGAGACCTTGCGCCGCTGGTATGGGCGCGCTCCCTGTCTACTGGTATATACCTTCTATTTATACATATGTATATATATATATGTATACATGTGTGTTTGGATATACATACACATTACGGGAAAATTACCTCGTGCTTAGAAGGAAATGAGGGAACGGATTGTAGGGACTCTTGCAGGGTATGACAAGGGGACACTACCATACGAATGCACTCAGCCGTAAGCCCTAGCCCTAAAATAATTGAGAAATTTCCAATTTCTTGCCCTTCCCAGCTCTGATGACCCTGATGCTTCAGTATACACCAAACCTGAACTCTACATCTTACCACAAACTACCATATTATAATATAGTAGCTTCCATGCTCTTGTCCATTATCCCTATATACCCCTATATATCCCTATATACCACTTTCAAGGGACCCCAATAATCTTCAAGCCGCTACACAAGGGGTTCAGGCTTGCCTAGAGCCGTGCTTGGTGAGGAATGGATTTACAAAATTCCGTATAACAAGGTGGGGTCGAGGGCTTTGGATTTTGGTGTAAGACTTTCGGATTTAGGGTTGAGGCCTTGGGGTTTCTTAGGATTTGGGGTTTACACTAAGTTTTGGTAAACATTTCCCGGATTCCCGCTCAGTATCATGAAGCTGCTGCAAACATTGTGCATTGCAAGCTACAGCAGGTGACTCTACGCAATATGCTCGAAGACTTTGCTGCGATTAGGGAATTTGATCAAGTTACCACAGTATGTACCTATGGTGTCTCATATGAGCTCCTCTATAATATGTTTCCTCATCATAATAACATGCTTCCTTATCACAATAACTTGATTTGGTAGTTTCCCAGAATAGGGGGACTCCAATATAGACCCAAAACTACTATAGCCCTTTTTATAGGGACCCCCACTCCTCAGCAGCAACCCAGAAGAACTAAGGCGAAGGACCCAGGGCAGCCACAAGTTTCAGGCTACCTGCACGACAGAAGCAATGCTGGCAACAAATGAGGGATGTCTCAATTATGGTTTAGAGTTTGAGGGTCGCCGCCCAAGTACTGCCTCAGAAAGGTGCCAAAAGACACCTACTGTTTGACACACTTTCACGTACATCTATGCACGTGATATATACATGTGTACATATGTATATATAGTACATATATACATATGTCTATGTACAAAAACGTATATGCAAATATGTAAGTATGAAATTGGTGAACTTCAGAAAGCCCCTGAATCTGAGCTCAAGGACCCCAGCCTTCGATGGCGTGAGGTGAGAGAAGCTGTTCTGGCCAGATTAAAGGTTTAGGGCTTCGAGTCTGGGGTCTAGGGCTTGGGTTTAGGGTTTAGGCCTTAGAGTCTGGGATGTAAGGTTTGGGGTTTAGGGTTTAGGGCTTTAGAAAAATGAGGGTATTCAGGGTGTCTGGAGATACAGTTGCGGGATGTTTTGCTAGCAGCCAACAATCCTCCTAATTCTAGAACCCCAATTGCTGAGTCCAGGAGAGGGGGATTCTGATGTTCCAACTGTCTGGCTTGTTCGGTAGGGGGTATATATTAGGGCTATATTGGGCTAGTGGAAAAGAGAATGGAAACTACTGTAGTATGTTGGGGTCATATAGGGCTTAGGGTTTAGTTTGTGTTCAACCCCTCCGGATTTTTTCGTTTGCCACAGGCAAGAGGTTCAGGTGGAAGTTTGCTGCGAATCCATCACCCGGGAAAAACCATATGCGATATGCTCGAACACTGCTCAACAAACTGCTTTCCGACAAAATGCCCTCAAGCAGATGCCAAAACTGTGCCGTATGATCCGCACGTCACACACACGCCACATGCCATGTCAGTTTTTTTTGACACCCCTGACGCACCTTTTGTGTGCAAGCCGAGGCACAGCAGTTTAGGGTTTAGGCTTTGCAATAGCATAGCAATTCTAGACACCAAACGCCTAAGAGCCATAGCACCAATCACAAGACTTGCACCAGTAGCTACTGATCACAGCGATAGTCGAAATCAAAATGGTGGAGAAGAAGTGGTACTGAAATTCACGATGGAAGAAAAATGCCAGAAACAAAAACCATGACTGATAACAGGATCTTAGTAAGCCCCACCCCTAAATTTAGGACCCTATGTGAAATTCATACCCCTGTAAAAGTAGGACCCTATATCATAGCTATAGAAGTCTTACTATAGGGGTTGTGATTGCCAAACTCCTCTTATCAACGATGAAGTACACGCAACGGGAGCCTCGATCTGAGAACAGGTGTCTTCCAACCTCAACCGGTCACAGGAAGCTTCCCCCAGGATTAGGTCGTGGGGTTTGGGGTTTAGGGTTTAGGGTTTGGGGATTAAGGCCCTTGGGAGTACCTTCATCCCCTCCCCGAATAATAAACACCCCCCACCCACCTAGTCATAAGACATCCTCAATATGGGTGTTTCCCAAAATTAGGGTACCTTTTGGGGGTCCCAATAGTAAGGACTGTAGTATTTGGGGGTCTATATTAGGGTCCCCTTATTTTGGGAGACTACCGTATAGTATCAGTATAGAATATGTTTTGCAGGCGGGGAGGCGGTGATTAGGGGAGGGGATGACTACAACACTTACTGTTTAGGGTTTAGGTTTAGAATGTTCAGGGGACTCAGCAAGTCTTAGGAATCTCTTGGCGTCTTTGCTATGTCCCACTGACCCTACGTACCCCTACGTCCCCCTGACCCTCCAAGTAACCCTTTGAATCTCCGCACCCCCATGATTCTAAATATCCCCCCTTCATATTGCGGTACGATCATGGGGGTATACATTGCTAGGGGCTGGGGGTTGTTATTAGTGGGGCATGGGGTTTGTGGTGTAACTGTGACCATTCTTGGAGTGCAAGGGAATGCTTTTTGACAGATGTTCGTGGCAACATCGTAAGGTCTTTGCCTGATGGAACCCCAACAACTTATGTTAACCGATGATGCTCCTTGGGGTCCTCGCCAAAGATATGGTTCTGCACCAGCAACTATGTTGCCAGAAACGTTTAGTGTGCGGGGCCAACAGATAAGATGTGCCAATCGATGGTCTGGCTTTGTGTGGTTGAGAGAGCTCTAGACAGGCTCCAATATACCTTATCAGGCACATTCCCCAAAAACAGGCCCCAGATGCTTGTACCCCCCTTGTGAATCATCCTTTGCCTCGCCTATCTTGAGTTGGCGTCCCCAATAAATGTTCCAATAATGGGAAGCTGGCTTGCTTGGCTCAACCCCGAATTCTAAATCACGTGGCTAACCCTTGTCCCCGATGACCCTGCGCCCTGAATCTCGAACAAAGCTAGAGAAACGACAAAAGGATCTGAAAACCGAAGCCTGCAACTCGGAACAAACGCTGCAACAACAAAGTACCAGAAACACACAAAGAATGAGAACTCAAGACTGCAATTGTTAAGTGAGCTAAGTTAAACTCTTAGTATCCCCACTTAATAACCCCTATAATAGTCCCCTATACATTACCCTATATAACCCCCTTTAAGAAATTTAGACCCAAAACCCAAAACCCTAAACCCTAATCCTCTGTATAACCCCCTTTAAGGACCTTACACTATAGTGTCTCAGGAAGTGTCAAGCTCAAGAGCTTGTTCTGGACCACCTCGCGCTGTGAGCGCTCCTCCATTTTTGGCCGATGGTTGAGGGGGAATCTAGGGATATATAGGGATCTATGGGAATCTAGAGGGACAAATGGGACTAGGCTACAAGGATTAGGAGTTCAGGGCCTAGGGTGTAGGGGTTCAGATCTAGGGGATGTACTTCAAGGGATGGCGCAACTTGAGGCATTGCGCAGGCTGTCCCTTCACCTTGCCAAACCCTTCTCCTGCTGGATCTCAGCGTGGAGCTTCCCGCACACATCCTCGCAGGCAGTATGCTGTCAAATGATGCCTCGAAAGCTCTTGCAGCAAGTCACTCCGCCAAAATCCAGCATCCTCAACCCCTATAACAATGCCCCAAACCCCAAACACACAGGAAAAGGCAAAACCAACCTCGCCCCTAAACCCCTCGACTCCCAAACCTCTAACACCATAAAAGCCTCTCATACCCGTCCCATCCCAAAGCAAACTGAAATGCAGACCTCCACCATCCGGAGCATCATGCCCTCAGCCTCAAAGCGAAGCTGCCTTGCAAGGGGATTCGGAATCCATAAACTCCTGAAACCCCCCTTGACCGCTGATACGAAAAATTCCTGCATAACCCCAAGTATGCAATGCCTTACGCATGATGGTGTTCAAGTATGCTCAGGTCATGAGGGAATTTTAGTATCACCCCTGTACACCTCTACTTAATCCCAGTTTCTCTTTATTTTTCATGTTCTTTTCCATCTGATTCTCAAAAATCGGGGAAATATCCCTCACTACCAAACCCTAATAGTAGGTTCCATCGTCTTTTCCATTATCCGTATCTAATCCCTATTTAAATCTATATTGGACCTTACATCCCCTGCATGTATATGTATATATGCATATATATATACACACACGTATGTATATGTATATATATATATATATCTCTCTCTCTCTCTCTCCCTCTTCAACCATATCTAGGGAATCTAGGGAGCGCAGACTTGCAGAGCTGTGGTGGCTTGGGGCTTAAGGTATCGGCATGCGCAAGGTTTCTGTTTTACGGGCCTGCAGTTGAGGCAATGGGTGGTTTAGGGATTACGCCTTTTAATGTAGGTTGGTCAGGTTCAACGAACTTGGGCTCAAACAGCTTATAAGTGAACAGTTTTGAGGGGGGCTAACGGCTTTGACCACGCATAAACTACCTGAAGGATCGGGGGAGCTTTAGCAACTGAACTTATGACCCCTATAAGCAATAGAACCACCCCGTCATTCTCATGCTTAACCTGACCGTCCAAGCATACTGGCATTTGCATAACCTCGAAGGCATGAGGATGGCCTTAGCGACCTGAGGGACCCCGGGGGTTGGAATGGTCAATCTTGAAGTAGGTGATACATGGGTCTTTTTTAAGCAGACTAGCTCCATTCGGGGACTGACAACCGTGTTTAGTCAAGAAGCTACTTACTCCGCTGAGCCTTCAAGTAAACCCTCAAACCCTAAACCCTAAGCCCTGAATAGTAGTCTCCATTTTATCTTCCATTACCCCAATATAACCCACATATATAGAAATGAATCCTCAAAACCTCGCTAAGCCCTAAACCACAAACCCTAAAACCCTAAACCCTCCATATATATATATATAGAAATGAAGCCCCAAAAACCCTACGCTTGACGAGAGCATGCTAGGTTCGAGGCTGCTCGCTGACAATGGCATCGTGGACTTTCTGGAATTCTGCCTCATGGCAAGTTGGGATATTTTGGGGTTATATTGGGATAATGGAAAAGAAAATGGAAACAACTATAGTATAACAGGGTATATATATAGGGGTTATAGGGATAATGGAAAAAGAAAATGGAAACTACTATATAGGGTTTAGGGTTTTAAGGTTTAGGGATGAGGGTTCAGGGCTTAGGGATTATTTGGGCTTAGGGTTTAGGGATTACGATTAAGTTTAGGGAGGTGAATTTCATGCAGTGCACCTACATAATTCAAATAAACACACACTGCTACATGACTGCGTAGTGCCTGCGCAGCCTCCACTCCACAATCTATATGCGTCCCTCCCAACATCGGATAATGTCAGCAACAAAGGTAGTCATATGTTTATGGCTGGGAAGAATATGCAAGCAAAAGACCTGTCAGTCGATGACAGTCAAAGCCGGAAACATCTGGCAATGGGAGCCAGAAGACTCACATGATCAAGGAAACGCCAACAAATCAGAGAATTCCTAGACGTAAGGTGGCAGCAAAACTGCACGAGGCACCTCCAGGTGCGAGACGATCTGCTCCCCGTACTCCACGCGCAACTGAGCATGCCGAGCGCTTGCTTCGGGCCAGGTATAGAACTGTCTGCGTAAGCTTACAAGATCTAGAATGAACGGGGAGGGGGATTGTTCCAAAGTCCGAAAGCATGTCAGAAAAGCTTGAGGAAAAGTGCTCAGATCTTGAACACGGATTTAATGGAGTGCCCCACATGAGCGTCTTGAAAAGTCTTTCAAGCAAGCTCTTGCGCCCAAAACGTGTGCAAAAAGCATTCTGCAGGAGCCCAATGCCATGGAACACTTTTTCTTTCTGGCTGTTAGTACCGTAGGGAATGACGGAATGCAATCCCTACATAACCCGTATAAACAATATTCCTTTGTGCCCTACAACAACCAGCAAGTTTTGAAACACTCAAGTGCCGGGCCCCAACAGGAAAACCCCATACACAGCATTCCAACAACAAGAGTTCCATAAAGTGTTTCAAAGGTGTTTCAGAAGATCCCTGCGCGGGGGACTCCAGGTGACTGCAAGGCCATGCTTTGAGACCTCAGTGGGATTTAGGGTTTCTGGCTTAGGGCTATGTCAACTGTTATGTTCGAAGCCGGCTTGCAGAAAAATCATTCATATGCAGATATGAGACTGTAGCTGCGCCTGAAATATATTGTGACTTAACAACTCTCGACCCTAAAATGCGAAATCAAAACCCTTATACGTAGCCCTAGGTTACGCGCCTGTGATCAAAATTTCGTGCCATAACAGCGAGCATCTGATATCCTATACGCTGATCCCTCAATGATCCTAAATCCCTAACCCTGAATCTTTAAACCTGCAAATCCGACATCAAGAAACCCTGAACCCTTATATCCCTGAAGCCCTACACTATATATACATATATCCTTAACCCTAAGTGCAGCTGCGTTTTACAATGGTGGAAAAGAACAATCAGTTTCAGGTCCCAGGGCTATTGCGATTCGTTGCTTCTCGAACAAGGCCTGGAGCCTCTGGACCTAGCGAAGCATACCCCATGGATCTAACTTCATGGTTAGGGTTTAGGTAACCTAAGATGCTCCTATGGTTCTATCAGCAGATGCTCTAAGTTGATATGTTTGAGTTTCGATCAGCTAGGACTAGGAGCCTCCAAACCTGTTTCTGTTTTCGCAGTGTAGCCCGTAAACCCGCGCTGTTGGACTTGATGAGGGGTGCATGGGGCTTGGATACTGTGGATGGAGGAGAATCTTGCTCCACCTTAAATCCTACAACCCTGAACCCTAAACCCTAAAAGGGCTTCGGTTTATTTGAAAGCTTGAGCTTTGGAAGGCTTGAACCTGGTCTTGCAACACATTCCACCCTTTTTTTGGCAGACATGCATGGTGGTGGGATTCTCAGTCAACAGTTAGAGTATCCCGAGCTAACATGGAACCGCTTTGAGCGGCTCCAACCTTCATTGTTGGGGTCCGATGGTAATTTGAGGCGGGGCAGTGATCAAAATCTCTGCTGGGACCACCCTACACCCAAAAACACTAAACCCCTAAACCCTAAAACCCTAAACCCCTAAGCCCTATACCCCAAAACCCTAGACCCCTAAACCACCCTAGACCCCTAAACTCCAAAACCCTAATCCTTAACCTCATCAACCCCCTGACCCGCAGTGGTTGCTAGTGCACAGGTCAAGTAATTGTCCTTTTTGGATTTAGGGTTTGTGGCATTGGGTTTGGGTCCATAAACCATGGCATATGGAATATGACCCTTGATTCGGGTATTTGGACCCAAGCAAGACTCAAGGGTACAAACCTTAAGGGTACAAACTTGAAGTCTTCGACTAAGGTTTAGGGATTCTAGAGGATACTGGGGATGGCTACAAAGTGTACCATGTTACTAAATGCACGAAGGTTCAGGTACAGATTGTAATGCAGGAGTTTGTCCGTCAAGTGTACGTTCAAATAGAGGTCCCAGCTCTGGAATCACCTTGAGGTGTCATCCAAAAAGGGAACATAGCTTTCAAAATGGCATGCCTCACTGAACTGGCCAAATGATGGATCTGCGGTTGAAAGCTACAGCGTTTTTTTGACGATGCTTACTAGTTCGGGTGTCTAGTTTTGAGAGCTCTGGACTTGCAAGTAGACGGGCATGCCCACAGCTTCAAAAATACAATCCCTCTACATCAGGCAACATCTACGTAAGACCCAAGGATCAAAATCAGAACGTCTCCGTCATACACTGACAAGCCTGAAACCCTATGAGAGACTTGGGGTTTCTGGAGGCCACTCATACCAAGCAAATCCCGATGCCTCCTCCCCGATTTCACGCCCATAGTCGTCATGAACCTTGGCGCTTTGCAGGTGAACTCTGTCACGCAGGAAGGCGAGGGCACTCAAACCATTGGCCTTAGCATGATGGGAACTGCTTCTGGCCTGTCCTTTGCTTCTGGGCCGGAGCTGCTGAATGGTCTCAAGGCAGGCACTGCAGCACCACTGACTGCAAGCCAGAGTTCTTGGTGGGAAGCTGAACATCTTCAAATCTTACTTTGTCTTGGGAATCATGCAAGAAGTTAAAGAAACCATGTCCTATATAGAGACGAGTGATGCAGCATAAAAGGATAGCAAATATGTTGCTTAGACATTATGGTAACCCTGGGAATGCTAGAGGCCCTTAAAATCTCATAAGCCTGCTATAGCTATAGCATGATATGCCCCGAAACGCTGTTCCAACTACTCAGGCCCGCACATTACCCCTAAACCCTAAACCCCTAAACCCTAAACCCTAAACCCCTAAACCCTAAACATTACCCCCAAACCCTGAATGCCGGGAACCTCACGGTCTCCCTTTGCGACTGCTCTTTGAGGAGTTCAGAGCGGCAATCCTCCACGATGTTGTCCATCGCTACCTCGAAGCTAGGGGTAGATGGGCATGTAGGGACGGAAAGGGACGGTAGGCACTTTTCATGAGATGGATTTGTAGCATTGAGGGGGTCGTTTCGGTCAGCGGACTCCTCTTCACTAAAGCTAGGTAGACAGTCTTTTTTTGAAGGAGGTGTCAGACTCGCATAGGTACCGGTTACCCCCACTGACTGTCCAGGGGCATCTAGGGCCTCTAGGGGCCCTCCCCTGCATGCTATGCTCATGAAGACAACTGACAGCAAGGCGCTTCAGGGCTTAGGGGAAAAGACCGCCTGATACCTCCGCTCCAGGTCTTCTCTGTCGGAAGCCACCTTTTCGACGTCCTGGAGCAGTCTGACGAATGCTTCCAGCTTGTAGTAAGATGCCCACGCATGACCTACCTACGAACGAAGATTGTGACAAATTATTTGACAAAGAGTGACGTAGGTGGCTGCAGAAGCGGTGGCAAGGGCAGCAATGATACGGCGGCGGCAGTGACAATGGAGGTCGCGCTGACGGTGGCAATGGTAATGGCGATTGTGGGCGCTGCAGCGGCGGCGGTGGCCGTGGCCATGGCCTGGGCGTTGGTGATGGCCTTGGTGGAACTCGCCGCTTAAGAAACGGCAGCAGAAACGTAATTAACGGAGGCAATAGCAGTAGCAGCGATTGAAGGTTGAGCCCAAGCTTGTAATTTCTGAAGTTCCTCATAAGCTGTCTGGGTAGGAATCATTCCAGGAATGCTGGTCCAGAACTCTGAGGCCTGATTAGTTCCGGCAGATTTGGGGCACCCAAACTCCCATGTCCCAAAACGGGAGCCTCATCGCGAGGAACTCATACAAGCTATACTTACTGGTGGTTAGTAGGGAATACGGGAATATTAATAATCCCTATATATATATATATATCTATATATTCCCTCAATACTATATTCCTTCCCTACTAACCCGCAGCAGGCACATTGGCGCTTGAGAGCTTGACTCAGCTTACTCTGGCATCCCAGTCCGACAGGAAACTGCCTTCCACCACCTTCAACTCTTTCTGCCTGGAGAGGCAAGCGGGGGCACTGTTGGACCCTGGCCATGTACGGGGATTATGAAGAGATTCTGGAGCTCCCTGGTAGAAAGTATTTGAAAAACTTTGAGAAACTCACATATTGAAAAAAAACAACAGGAAACCCGTCACGTTTCCTCTGACGCTCTGAAACTTCTGCAAGCCCGAAAATAACACCCTTTAAGGAGTTCAGACTATAGCTCATATGGGGTTCCATGCTATTTGGGGATATTAAATGCTCACCGTGAATGACTCTTGCAAGGCAACCATGAGGCTAGGGACCCTGATGATAACAAGGGGATGTGATGTCAGCAATGGTCCTGTTTTGGGGGTTTTCACATCAGTACTTTACTCACCCTAAACCCTAAACTCATATATGTACTATACTCACCCAGAACCCAGAGCCTGCCCTACCCTAGCTTGGTACCTGATCTCCAAAAATGGATGGTCCCATTTTAGTGAAATCGCTCAACTCCAAAGCCTTATGACTGTGAAGGATCTGAATAGGGTTTAGGGTTTAGGGAAGCAAACCACCCTGAACTTTGTAGCAGCTCAGCGACCTTGCCATCTCCAAAACTATCAGGAGATACTCCATACATCATCAACCTTAAGCACCAGTTAGGAAAATGAGAGAGCCTTCGCTCATCTTGGATCTCCTCAGAGACGCGCAGGGCATGAAGACCTGACAATGCAAGGTAAGGTGGGGGTGGCGTCGGGGCGCGGACGTGAGAATGGGGAGGCTGCAGGAGGTGTGGGCAGAGGGAAGAGTTTATGAGTTAATGGGATTAGGTTTGAGGAAGAGGGTTAAGGATTTCTCGGCGTCAGAGGCTTTACGAAAGGTGGGTGGGGATTCTTCTGGCCTCATCTGCTCTATAGTCTAAATCACTACAGGGTTTAAGGTGTAGAGTCGGGGCGACATCAAATGGGAATGATTTGAGATACATACATACTAGCTTGGCCCATATTCAGACTTTTGTAAATCTCAGCTCCAGCCTCATTTGGAAAAGGTATTCTAATGCACCCTTACACCTCAGAAGAAGGTTTCCGAGCGTTTGCTGTTGAACACATCTAGGACTTGTGGGAGGATAGCGCTACTTGCCATTTGATTGGTGCCGCAGCATCTTGCATAAGAGCAAGGTTGGCTGCTATCGAACAGGGAATCGAAGAATAAATCCCTGCAGTGGCCCCCAAGGTTTAGGGTTTGGGCTTTGGGGTTTAGGGTGTCAATAATCTCCGGATTCCAGTTTCTATGCATTCCCCAAACCTCAGAACCTTAAAACCCATACAAACCAAACCGAGTCGTACTGTCCAGTTTCTCTTCCATTCCTTCATCCACTTTTAACAGACAGTAAGTATACTCCAAACGCTAAGCCTTATAGATGTATGCGTATATACATATATATATATATATGACTATATGAGATATAGATATACATATATGTATATGTGTCTAGATACATATACTCTTCTTACCCCCAGTTCCTTTTGCATGTTCTTCCCCCATTCTACACATTCCACACAGTCCCTTCTGACAACCGCCAAATATACCTGAAATTCTGCACGATATATGTAACTCAACCCCCCCCCCCCCCCCCCCCCCCCCCCCCCCCCCC